AAAGTTCTTGTGCTGTTTTCCAGCTCCATCAAGTTGTTTATGTTCTTCTCTAAGCTGGTTATTCTAGTTAGCATTTCTTCTAACCATTTTTCAAGGTTTTTAGTTTCTTTATATTGGGTTTGAACATGTTCCTTTAACTCAGAGAAGTTTGTTATTACCCACCTTCTGAAGCCTGCTTCTGTCAATTCATCAAATTCATTCTCCATCCAGTATTGTTTCCTTGCTGGTGAGGAGTTGTGATCTCGTGGTGGGGGAGAGGTGTTCTCGTTTTTGATGGTTTCATTCTTCTTGTGCTGGTTTCTTCCCATCTCTTTGGATTTATATAGTTTTGATCTCAGGTAGCTGCGTGGGAAGGCAGCCCTTTTCCTTTGTCTGCCTGCAGAGGCACTGCTGGCCTGCCACAGATTTAGTGGAGCTGCTGCATCTTTTATTTACTCAGGAAAATTAGGCTGGCTTCTGCAATGGTGGCTGCCCCTCCCTGTGCCGAGCTCAATCATCCCTGGTCACTCTCTAACTGATGTTCTGGGTGAAAAAATCTGGAGTGAGAGTTTTTTAGCCTCTAGGCTTTGTACAGGGGGCCCATCTGCCATATGGGCTGTTTCCCTGTTTTCAGTTCCCCTTCTTTCTGGGGGGTGGGTGGCTCTATCCAGCCAGTGTTCTGGCTTTCAAGTCAGCCAGTGCTTCCACCCAGATCTATGCTGACAGCCCCAGTGCCGGCCAAAGTTGCTGTTCTGCCCTGTTCAGGCAGTTCACTGAGGCTTTTCAGCCCGGCCAAGATCTCCAGTTCTGTGGGTTGTAGTGGGCTTGGAAGAAGCACTGTATCCAAACCGAAGTCCCAGAGGGGGAGATCCCCTGGTCCTCTGGTCGGTTGCATGCACTTCCTGGGTGGGACAGTGCCCCACCTTGCCTCAACTTGCCCTATTTGGTTTATACCCACTGTCCAACCAGACCCACCAAATGAACCTGGTACCTCATTTGGAATTGTGGAGACCACTCAGCTTCTGTGTCTCTCTCACTGGGAGTTGTTTTCCAGAGCTACCTCTTATTCAACCATCTTGGGATCCCTCGGTTGTTTTCTTTTTTATGGCTATGTAATATTCCATGGTGTATTTGTATCACATTTTTAAAATCCCATCTACCATTGATGAGTATTTAGGTTAATTCCATATCTTTGTTATTGTGAATAGTGTTGCAATGAACATTCATGTGTATATGTCTTTGTGGTAACACAATTTATATTCCTTTGTGTATACACCCAGTAATGGGATTGCTGAGTTGAATGGTAGTTCTGATTTTAGCTCTTTGAGGAATCACCACACTGCTTTCAACAATGGTTGAACTAATTTACGCTCCACCAACAGTGTATAAGTGTTCCCCTTTCTCTGCAACCTTGCCAGCATCTATTATTTTTTACTTTTAATAACAGCTGTTCTACCTGGTGTGAGATGGTATCTTATTATGGTTTTGATTTGCATTTATCTAGTAACTAGTGCTATTGAGCTTGTTTTTATATGCTTCTTGACCACACATATGTCTTCTTTTGAAAAGGGTCTGTTTGTGTTCTTTGCCTGCTTTTTAATGGTTTTTTTTCTTGTAACTTTAAGTTCCTTATAGATGCTGAACATTAGACCTTTGTCAGACACATCATTTGCAAATATTTCCTCCCATTATGTAGGTTGTCTGTTTACTCTATTAATAGTTTCTATTACTGTGTAGAATCTCTAAAATTTAATTAGATTCCATTTGTCAGTTTTTGTTCTCGTTGCAGTTGCTTTTGGTGTATTCATCATAAAATCTTTACCAGTTTCTTTGTCCAGAATGTTATTGCCTAGGGTGTCTTCTAGGATTTTTAGTTTTCAGTCTTACATTTAAGTCTTTAATCAATTTTGAGTTTATTTTTGTATATGGTGTAAGGAAGGGGTCCAATTTCAATCTTCGGCATATGGCTAGCCAGTTATCCCAGCACCATTTATTGAATAGTGAGTCCTTCGCCATTGCTTGTTTTTGTCAGCTTTGTCAAAGATCAGATGGTTATAGCTGTGTGGCCCTATTTCTGGGCTCCGTATTCCATTTCATTGGTCTGTGTGTCTGTTTTTGTGCCAGTATCATGCGTTTTGATTACCGTGCTTCTGTAGTATAGTTTGAAGTCATGTAATGTGATGTCTCTAGCTTTGTTCTTTTTCCTAGGATTGCCTTGGCTATTGGTGTGCTCTTTTCTGGTTACATATGAATTTTAAAATAGTTTCTATGAAGAACGTCATTGGTCATTTGGTAGGAATAGCATTGAACCATAAGTTCCTTTGGGCAGTATGGCCATTTTAACAATATTGACTTTTTCTTTTCATAAGCATGGCATATTTTTTCATTTGTTTTTGTCATCTCTGATTTCTTTGAGCAGTGTTTTGTAATCCTCATTGTAGAGATTTTCACCTCCTTGTTTAGCTGTATTCCTAGGTATTCTTTTTATGTTCTGCCCTTTTTTTTTTTTTTTTTTTGAGACGGAGTTTCGCTCTTTTTACCCAGGCTGGAGTGCAATGGCGCGATCTCGGCTCACCACAACCTCCGCCTCCTGGGTTCAGGCAATTCTCCTGCCTCAGCCTCCTGAGTAGCTGGGATTATAGGCACGCACCACCATGCCCAGCTAATTTTTTGTATTTTTAGTAGAGACGGGGTTTCACCATGTTGACCAGGTTGGTCTCGATCTCTCGACCTCGTGATCCACCCGCCTCGGCCTCCCAAAGTGCTGGGATTACAGGATTGAGCCACCGCGCCCGGCCCATTTTTTTTTTTTTATTGCATTGCAGACCTTTTCCTTACTGATCTATAAGGGTTTTATATATTACAAGGAATCAATCTTTATGATATTAAATACAAATGTTTCCTTTGCCATTGGTCTTTTGATTGGTGTTTTGTTTTGTTTTGGATTGTGTCGGCCACACAAATGTAGTCAAATATGAGACATTTTTCTTTTATTTTTGCTGGGTTTTATGTTTTATTTTGGAAAACAAACGATACTAGCAAACAAACGATACTAGCTAATTATGTTATTAGCAAAACTCCCATTTTTTTCTCATAGAGTCATGCATTGCTTAGTAATGGGATATGTTCTGAGAAATGTGTCATTAAGTGATTTCCTCATTGTGTGAGCATCATACTAGGTTTATACTTACATAAACCTAGCTCGTATAGCCTACTATATATCTAGCTTTTATTGTATTGTATAGCCTATTGCTCCTAGGCCACATGCTTATATACAGCATGTTACTGTACTGAACACTATAAGCAATTGTAACACCATGGTATGTGTGGATATAAACATATTGAAATGTAGAAGAGGTACAGTAAAAATATGGCATAAAAGATAAAACATGGTACATCTGTATAGGTCATTTACCATGCATGGAACTCACAGGACTGGAAGCTGCTACGGATGAGTGAGTGACTGAGTGGTGAGTGAATGTGAGGACCTAGGACGTTACTGTTCACTACTGTAGACTTTATAAACACTGTACATTTAGGCTACAATAAATATATTTTAAAATATTTTTTCTTTCTTCAATAATAAATTGACCACTTCCTGTAATGTTTTTATGTTTTAAACTTTTAATTTTTTAAAACTTTTTGACTCTTGTAAATAGCACTTAGCTTAAAACACAAACACATTGTACAGTTATATACAAATATTTTTTCTTCATATTCTTTTTTATAAGCTTTTTTTCTATTTTTTAACTTTTTATTAAAAATGAAGACACAAACACACACATTGGCCTAGGCCCACATGGGGTCAGGATCATCAATATCATTGCCTTCCACCTCTGCACATTCTTCCACTAGGTCTTTAGGGAAAGTGACACTTATGAAGTTATTATGTATTATGTCCTATGGTGACAATGCCTTTGTCCTGAAGGACCTGCCTGAGGCTGTTTTACAATTTTTTTAGTAAGTAGGAATAGACTAAAATAACACTAAAAGTATAGTATAGTATAGTAAATACAGGAATCAGTAATATAGTCGTTTATTATCATTATGAAGTACTCTCCACTATATGGAATAACGTGTGCTGGACTTTTATACAACTGGCAGCATAGTAGGTTTGTTTATAGCAGCATCACCCCAAACCAGTGAGTAATGTGTTGTGCTATGTTATGATAACTATGATATCACTAGAAAATAGTTTTTCAGGTCCATTATAAGCTTATGGAAACACCGTCATATGTATAGTCTGTGGTTGACTGAAACATTATTATGCAGTGCATGATTGTACTTTTATGATTTTTAAAATATATTTAAGACTTTAATACATTTTGAATTCATTTTTATGTAAGGTATGGAGTAGGATTACGATTTCTTACCATTTTCTATTCTTTTTCTAAACTTTCTACTCTGTGCCATTGAATCGTCCATCTACTCTTGTACCAATAGCATACTGTTTTACTTACTGTAATTCTATAATATTTTTGAATATCTGATAGGACTGGAAACTCCTTATTTTTCTACCTCGGAATTTTCTAGGCTATTCATAGTTGTTTACACTTCCCAGTTTTCATCCCCCAACTGTGTGCAACTAACAGTCTCTTTACTTCTCTGGGAAACACTTCATGAGGGTTGAATTGATCTCGGAGGTGCCCTTTTGCTCTAACATTTTAGGGTTCTATGGTCTATGGGGCAGGGAAAGTGGCATCCACATTTGTCCACCGGATATTTTCTGTCTTGCCCTTTTGGTCCTAGGACAATGACAGAGACTTTTATGATATTAGGGTGAAATTAGAACCTTAGAATTCTTAGAGAGCAAGATCATGGGCAGATGGGTGTTAACATCTCTTCTTTAAACTAAAAACGTTTTCACCAACCTTCTTCTGGTAAACAAGCCAGCAGACTTTAGAGTCTGTGTTGTGGTTTCCCAGGGTCTGCCTGGCCTGTCTGCTCTAGACTTGGCAGGCTCCATCTGGCCTACCATGGGATGCTGGACCTCTCCACTAGTGTTTTCTTTTCTTTCACAGCTACTTCAGCTCTCGGCTGCTGCTGTGGACAAAGGATGCAGCGTGGGTGAGGTTCTGCAGTCAGTGCTACGCTATGAGAAGCAGCGCCAGCTGAATGAGGCAGTGGGGAATGTCACGGCACTGCAGCTGCTGGACTGGCTGATGGTGAACCTGTGATCAGCAACCCCACCGCCTTCCCCTCTTCCGGCAGCGGGCCCGGCCCTTATCCCCACCCTTCTTTCTCATTTCCACAGCTCCCCTTCTATATCCTTACAGAGCCCTAACATTATCTTCATATCACTCTCATCAAAGACATGTCATCTTATGCTAGTCACTGGATTTTGCAGATTTTCCTGTCCATGAGTGCAAGGACGTAAAATTAAAAAAACTACAACTAAATGGCTCCACGTGTTTTGCTTTCTTGGGATCCAATGGGACAATCAGGTAAAGAAATCCCAGGAGTGAAAAAATAACTAGATGAATGCCGGAGGTACAGCAGAGCTGGACCGAGGCGCCCTGCTGCAGGTCACAGCCTGTCCCCCTGTCTCTGCGTCACAATTTGCAGCTTCCTCATTCTCTTAAACTAAACCACAGTTTATCAATAATTCATTTTAGCCTTTCATAACCATGAAAATCAGAAGATACTTTCTAATATTCAATCAAAATCATCCTAATTACAATGTTGAAGACTTGGTTTCCCTTTCTCTGTAGAGCTGCAGACAGTGTCCACCTCCGACTTCATCCATGGTTGAAATTCGTCTCAAGAATGTTCCCAAGGATCTGAGTTCTGTTGCTGGTTTTGTTGCTTTCTGGCTTTCTGGCTATAGAACCTGGGATAAGATACCTGTTCTAATACTGCTCTGACTTAATATCCATATCACCCTACTTAAGAAATACTTTCTGTTCTTATCCAGCATTTCCTGTGGAATTTTATATTCTTGACCCTTCTTTCCTTTTAGAAACTTTTCCATTGGCTTCCAATCTTCTTCCTGTATCTCTGGGTCTCTTGGGGGACCTCCTCAACTCTGTCGACTCCTTTTATATTTACCTTCCCTAGGACTTTCTTTCAACCCTCTGCTATTCTAACTCAGGATCTTCCTTGGGAGATTGCATCCAAATCCATTGCTTTAATGACTTGGTGTCAACGTTCATAAAATGTTATGCAACAATTAAAATGAAAAGTGTATTGAGGGGAGGTAATTCCAAATGACAAGTAAAAAAGAAAACAAATCATTTTTATGTATTCTATATTGTTTCTGATGTTATAATCTTAAGTTTCATGTAAAATTCTATCTGCCCTATTATAATCACATAAAGGTTATGTATTTGTGTCGATAAGGATTAGAAAGGGAAGTAAGAAGGCATACTTAGATTTGTGGTATGGTAGGTAAATGAATATATCTTGCTTGTTCCCCTCCTTTGGGAAACCTTCCATCCCTTGCTCTAGTCTAGAGAAGCATCAGTCACGGTACCTTCACCATCACTGTGGGCTTGGGGCCCAGACTGCATCCCAGTCTCCCAGGCACAATTTCTGTGTCACAATCATTTTGGAGACTTCTGTCAGCAAAGAGGCCTGCATCTTTTGACTGGATGTTGGTGGTTAATTTCTGGGCAGAACCTGTCATCAGGATGAAGTCAACCATAGAAGCAAGGCTAATAGATGAAGAGGGAATCTGAACCCTACAACCTCATTTGAATTCCCGGGTCCTGCTGTACCTGAAACTACATCTACCCTTTCTGATTCCCCAATTATATAAGTCAATAAAGGTCTTCTGTTGTTTAAGCTACTTTTGAATTCAGCTTATATCATTTTCAAACAAAAATGGTGACATACGTTGGCAGTCACGAGCAAGAACAACAAAAAAAAGTCTTTGTTTAGAGTTCCATTAATGATTCTATAACATTGATAGTTAAAACTATTCCCAGCCCAACACACAAACACATATGGAATGAATTTAACTGTGAGGACATCCTCCCCCATCTCTCATAAGAGAAATCATGTCAACTGGCCATATTAATAGAGTTTTTTAAAATAAACTTTTATGTATTAAAAAGCAACAGTCTGAAGTATTGTACAATGTAAGTGCTGTCTTAATACAAATCGCTGGTGGAAAGAATCAGGACACACTGTCAGCGAAGGTCATACAATAGGAGGTAAAATGCTGATGTTCTTTGGGGAGGAATTTTTGCTCTGTCCTGTGTAGGTCATGGACACTTCTGCCCCAACAGCCGCCTCTGACTTTGGGAGAGCTTCTACCAGTTGAGGCAGCTGAACAGTGTCAGCTGTGTGCTAGAGAGGGTCCTGCTGATCACCTGAATGCTGAATATGCTTCATGGGGCCATCTTTTGTTTTGTCTGTAGTCTCTGGTGATTTCATCTGCTGAAGGAGCGAGAAGACAGAACGAACAAGCATTCAAATGGGAACTATGTGTGAACTGTCCTCTAGGCTGTAAAATCACTTAGTGGAAACCATGACTGTGATGATATAAAAACAGTTCATTTGTAAAGCAGGTTCAATGTGCCAGGCATTATTCTAAGCACTTTGCGTTTACTGATTCATCTGATCATTTCAGCGACCCTGGAGAATGGGCATTATTCTCATTCCCATAAATAGAGATGCTGAGCTACAGAGAGGTTAAGTCCATACCTGATAAGTGGTGGAGCCAGAATTTAATCCCAGATAACCCGACTCTTGTGACCATGTACCTAACCACTAGGCTATATTGCATATAAAAATTTGCATAATACCACCATCTGGCACTGACAGACATTCCAAAGATACTTATAGGGCATAAAGGGGTGGACACAGTTAAGGAAAAGGGGAGGAGGAGAAAGGAAATTGATTATAGGAGAATAATGGAAAATCCTAATAAGGAGCGTAAAAGGAAATCCCAAAGGTAAGAAATGGCAGCCTTCCTGGACTATGGGAATAGGACTAGCTATTTGACAGGCCGTACCTTTTTTGCTTGAGTGATGATGGCCTTGAAACTTGATCTTCCTTGTCTCAGAGGGGAAAACGAAACTGGATTTCCTCAGAGTCTGGGGCCTAGGCTGCAGCTTGAGGTTCCTAGACTGCTGAATCCAAGCGTACTTGAGGGCCTCGTTCGGGGTCATGTGAAGAGGTTTCCATCTGCACCCCCAACAAAGCCCAGCATGGGTTACTGTTTTATTTCCTTTTAGTATGTTAAAACATTTTTAAAAACCCGATAAAGATTTTTATTTAAGCTATGTTGATATCTCAAAGATATCATCATAGAACAGAGACTATGGCGTATAACTTAAAAGTACCTGGAAACAGCTATTGAAAATCACCTTTTTAGAAGATGTGTATAACAAGCCAGGGAATATATATTACACTCCAAGTCTTCCAGAATGCCTAGAAATTTCTATATAAGAAATATTATTTTACAAAAGCTTAATCAATGGGATTTAGGGTTTGGTAAGCTAAGCATATTAAAAACCGAGATGCTTAATTTCAATTTCCAAACTACAGAATTGGGGCTTCCAAATATATTGCAAGAAGAGTTACAGAATTCTAGAATATTAAGATCTGCAAGGGGACCTGGATATAATCTAATCAAACTTCTAATTCAGTAGCAGAATACACTGACCAAACTCCCATCACAGAATCACCCTACAATTCTTTTTTTTTTTTTTTTTTTTTTTTTTGAGACGGAGTTTCGCTCTTGTTACCCAGGCTGGAGTGCAATGGCACGATCTCGGCTCACCGCAACCTCTGCCTCCTGGGCTCAGGCAATTCCCCTGCCTCAGCCTCCTGAGTAGCTGCGATTACAGGCACGTGCCACGATGCCCAGCTAATTTTTTGTATTTTTAGTAGAGACGGGGTTTCACCATGTTGACCAGGATGGTCTCGATCTCTCGACCTCGTGATCCACCCGCCTCGGCCTCCCAAAGTGCTGGGATTACAGGCTTGAGCCACCGCGCCCGGCCACCCTACAATTCTTGAATAATTTCAGTGACAAGGCACTAACTCTGAGAACCATCTAATCCAATTTTGAAAAACTCTGATTCTTTGAAAGTTCTTGATTTTTATTGTACCAAAACTGGTTTGCTTCCCAGTAACTTGTACCCAGGTCCTGATTCAACCCATTACCATCATACAAAATAACTAATTCTTCTTTTATGTTTCAGCCCTTCAACTGTCTGAAAATATTTACATTGCTACTAACCAATGATTATATGATGTTTTTCACCATCTGGCCACCTTCTGAGATAAGGATATTTTAGCAGTTGTCTAACTAATGTCCACCATGGTGGGAATAGCTTCTATAACTGCAGGGAGACAGTATTAACACTCTAGACTAATCAAGGTCCTAAACAGCTCAAACTCTCATTTCTGTGTCAAATGAACTGCTGTTAAACAAATCTCTCCTTTCCTGGATTTTTGGAGTTAGCCTACAAAGTCTAAACACAAGGCTTTACATTTATGCCTATTGAACTTGGCTCAACACTTTTAGTCTCTCATTCCAAAGATTTGCTAATTAGTGCGCGCGCTCTCTCTCTCTCCATATATATATATATATATATACACACATATATATATACACACACGCATATATATATATATATATATATACACACACACACACACGCGCACATATGTATATATATATGGTAACAGTCCCCATCAGCTTGACTGCCTCCTGCAAGTTATGAGTAATCAGTCTTTCGCACTAAACAAGAAAATAATGTGGCCGGGCGCGGTGGCTCACTCCTGTAATATCAGCACTTTGGGAGGCCGGGGCGGGTGAATCATGAGGTCAGGAGATCAAGACCATCCTGGCTAACATGGTGAAACCCCATCTCTACTAAAAATACAAAAAAAAAAAAAAAAAAAAAAAAAAATTAGCCAGGCTTGGTGGCACATGCCTGTAGTCCCAGCAACTCTGGAGGCTGAGACAAGAGAATTGCATGAACCCAGGAGGTGGAGGTTGCAGTGAGCCAAGTTCATGCCACCATACTCCAGACTGGGTGACAGAGAAAGTCTACGTCTCAAAAAAAAAAAAAAAAAAAAGAAAAGAAAAAGAAAGAAATGAAAATAATGTCTTCCTTGGTGCTGAGCTGTATTCTGAATGGTTGAGGTTTCTGGATAACCCATCTGTCTCAGCAGTTGGTTTCTGTCATTTGTTAAGGTAGAGGTAAAGATGGGGTACAGAATCCTTCTCTACCTTGATTATTCTGATAAGTGAATAGCATGACCCTCTACGTTGGGAATACTTTCATCGCTACCTCATGGTTCACCCTCTGAGCTAGTACCGAAATCTGAAGCGTGGGGTGGAATAAGACAATTATTCTGAACTTTCAGTGTATCCCTTTTGTCTGAATAATAAAGTGCACATTGGTTTGTATGGCATACGAGCTCCCCATGGTTTGACTTCACCT